CCCCCTGACCCTCCAAATAGGGTTGTACTCCTAGGTCCAGGGATCCTTGCATTGAAACGTTGGGCCATCCTGCAACCCTTGATATTCCTGGGCCAATCCTAAACCCTGATGTTGACTTCACCTCTGTGATTCGACTATACCCACATCTACAAAATCCCGCTACCAGAAAACCATTGCAACTATACCAAGACATAGAATATTGCTACCGGCACATGTGTTCGGGACTGTGATTGCAACTAGACTTTAACTGATTGGTAAACGTTTGTCAAACCTACAGTTTGCGCGCTTTTTAATTCTGCCCCCCCACCCCCCCCCCCCCCCCNNTATGGAGATAGATCACTCGAGGGGCCGGGGGGGGGGGGGGCTTCTATTCATGCGAAGCCAGCAGTCAACCCTGAGCCCTGTGGATCCAGGTTCCAACGAAATATAAAGGCAATGTCCGCAAGGGCAGTACAGGGCTATTTAAGGGATGTGGGGTTGTGTGGGGCGTGGAGTGTTTAGGGATCAGGTTGTCTATAAGCAGCCTAAATTCCTTTATCTCAAAGACCTCACAGATTGTGAAACTCCGGACCCGTAAAATCCTACATGACCCATGCTCCTCTGCAACCTCAACCAAATCTCCAAATCCTAATCGCTAGAGCCTGAAGCTTACTGAAACTTAATCTGTAAACCGTAAGCAGCCGATGGACAGGGGAACACCGTCGCACATTAATGGTGGCGGCCAAGGAGCCTTTTTCGCATTTGGTTGGGGGTCTTGAGGTATGCAATACTATTACACTTATTTAGGGTTTAGGGTTTATACAGGGGGATAAGGGAATAGTGTTGGTGAGCAGTTGCGCTTCTACAGTATGTGTTGCTGGGCGTCGCGAATGTGTGGTTTCTCAACATGGGGATATCAATTGAGCTTCGGGAATCAAACGGAAGAGAAAATCGAAATGAAATGCAAACTGGGATTATGCAGAGGCTGTAGAGGTTTACATGGTTCTGAATGGAGATCCCTAAGAAATGTGGGGATGATGTAGGGTTTAGGCTTTAGGGGTTTAGGGGTTCAGGGATTTGGGATTTAGGGGTTTAGGGTGTAGGGTTTACGGATTTGGGTGATTGGCCCTAATCTGAAACAGGGTCTACGTAACTATAGGGCTTTGGAACGATAATTATACCTGACGGCCATTTTTACCCACAAAAACGCAGTTCTACTGGGGCACACCTTAAAAACTGAATCTGAACTCATGGAACCCAAAGGCCTAAAACTCGATTCCAAAACCCGACACTTAAGGCACAACCTTAAACGTCAAACTACAATTGCAAGTCTAGCAAATGACTCCAGTATAGGGAGAACATATAAACATGACCTACCTCGAACCACGGCCGCTAGACCTAGAAGGACGGTAATTGCGTTCCATCTACAACTCCTAGTGGATGGAGGTACACGCTTCCACACCCTAGACCCTAAACCCTAAACCCTGCCTTCTCCACCCAGCTTGGCGCTTCCACGTAGAAGCTGGGCCCGGGACCGAGACATTGATGCTGGCCTCGGACGGCGTTTAGGATTTAGGGTTTAGGGTTTAGGGTCTAGGGTTTAGGATTTAGGGTGTAGGATTTAGGGTTTAGAGTTTAGGGTCTAGGATTTAGGGTTTAGAGTGTAGGTGTTGTATGAAAGGACTAAGATTTAATGTTTAAGGCTCAGATTGCAGGATTTGGGAGGACATGGGGCTTTCAATTCTAGCTTACTTGGAGGGTCAGGGGGACTTAGTAAGTAGGTTATCAATGGGGATAACTATAGGGTAACTATATGGGTTATAGGTGTTATTAACCTACTTACTAAGTCAAACTGACCCTCCAAGTATGAACTAGGATTCAGGATGATTCAGGGCCTCTCCGGATTGAATTTGGGTTTTAAGGCCAGTCAGGGTTGAACGTTGGTTTATGGTGTGGGGCTTTAGCTTTTCAACTTGTGGTTACCGGCTTAGGTCCCGAAACCCTAAACCCTACTTAGAGGGTCATGGGGACTTAGTAAGTAGGTCAATAATGGGGATAAGTAGGCTCACTATATGGGTTATGGGGGTTATTAACCTACTTACTAAGTCCCCCTGACCCTCCAAGTAACCTGTAAGAGAGGGTACTGCTTACGTTTTTGGCACGTCGGACAGTCCCTGAGAAGCACCCAGCGAAAGCATGATAAACACCCTACCTTGTATAGACTGTCGATGAACCCTAAGGGTCCAAGGGGTTTTAGGGCCCAAATATAGTAGTTGGGCCCTAAAACCCCATTATTTGGGTCCTTGGACCCTTATACAATCCCCATATATCCCTATGTATCCCCATATAACCCCTTGAAAAGGGACCCTGTTATTTGGGTCCTTGGACCCTTTAGGGGAAGGTGTATGGTTTTGCGCTTGAAAATCGAGGCTTCGGGATGGTCTCAGGGATTGCGATGAGACCATGGAAGTGTCAGTATGAAGTTTCTCGAAAGAGCTTGGGTTTAGGTCTTAGGGTTCAGGGTTTAAAGTTTAGGGTTCAGGGTTTAGGGTTTAGGGTTCAGGGTTTAGGTCTTAGGGTTCACAGCAATCTCGAAACAGAACTATGAGCTGCCTTCAGAAGACTCAGCGTGGGTGGCGCAACTCATCTGCAAAACCTAGTAATTAAGTTCCTTGAATTCCCTATATATTCCCTGAGTTTCCATGGCATTTTCCATGCTCTTGTCCATGTGATTCTCCAGTAGATCCTATACCCCCCAAACCCTATTCCGCCTGCACATTGCAGTGAGTTGGGGGGGTCAAAAGTAGTTTCTGCCATTAGAACTCCTGTACTGGAAGCTTACCCTGCTGAAGGTTGAAGGCTTATGGTTTTGGGGTTTAGGATTTTAGAGTTTTAGGGTTTTAGGGTGTAGGGTTTAGTGTTTAGGGTTTTGGGTTTAGGGCTTAGGTTTTTGGGTTTGCTCAACACTTTAAAGTTGGCCTCAGCTCTGCAGCTACAGCCCACTGACAACTTCGACTCGAATTCTCAATGCAAGTGGACACACCGTCACGCACATACTACCCGAGGACCCTAAGGGTCCAAGGACCCAAATAATAGGGCTTTAGGGCCCAAATACGATTAATGCTATAGTATTTGGGCCCTAAAACCCTATCATTTGGGTTCTTGGACCCTTAGGGGAATAATGACAAATATCAGTTTCAGGTTTGTTTGAGATATCCCGTATCAGAATCATACAAGAAACCTGGGACCGTAATATTCTGGGCTGCTGTTAAGGAACTTACTTTAAGTCACTATTTTCGGGAAGCCATATGAATTACTATATATATATATACATACACCCATGATGGAAACCTAATTTAAGTTGCTTAACAGCAACCCAGTATTGGTCATTCTTAGCCCCCCCCCCCCCCCCACAAATGTCATCCCTATGAACGGCTACGCAATTCCAAATCCCACTTCATGCTTCATGCTCTTTTCCATTTGGTTCTCGATCTTCTTGGCAACCCTCGATCTTCTTGGTAACCCCTAGGCTATAGTCTAAACTCCTAGTATCCCCCTTCATAAGCCCTAGAACACTCCCGCAGATAACCCCCTATATAACCCACTCCAAAGAGTTTAGACCCTAAACCCCAAACCCTATATAACCCCTCTTCAAGGAGTTTAGACTATGGCTCATGTAGTTAGGCCCCTAAACCCTAAACCCCCCTACATCCACGGCAAGGCATGGTCTGGCCATATGCGAGCACGCAGGGCCGTGACAGCAAGGGTCATGCTCAGCAGAAGCCTCGTACCCCTTACGAAATGGGGAATTTCCCAAAATGAGGGGTAACGTGTGCAGGGTCCCCATAATAGGGATTATCGGTCTAGATTGAAAATTGAGGTCCCCTTATTTTGGGAAACTACCTGATTCGAGCCAGGATTCTTCATATGATGTATAGGGTATACAGGCCTTAACCGTAGCCAAGGGGTATGGAGCTCTGCGGGTCATTGCGTGGAAGACCTCTGCGGGTTCCCCTTGGGAACATCAGGCTTTTCGTCCACATATGGGAACGGAACGTCTGGGATAGGCTTCCCGAGAAAATGCGCAATTGGAGCCCAGCCGTCGGAAAAGTTGTACACCAGAAGTCGATCTGCAGGAATGGCTTGCATTACTCGCTCATTGTGCTGCTGGTACGACTCCATGCACTTCTGCCTGGAGTCCACAGACGCGTTACTGTTGCCAAAGTCACAGCCCCAGTACCGGGCCTCTGTGCAATATGAGAACCAGCTGTTCGGATCAGGGTCCAGCACAGAGGGCCATCCCGTAATGCGTAACGTAAAATTGTAGACCCACTGCAGGAAAGGATCAGCAAGCTGACGTCTCTGCTGTTGAATCAGGGCATCATAGCTGTCGTACCACGTTTGTGGGTCTGCCATAGTCAGAATGAACTTCGCTCTGGGAAAAGCATGCATCACCTGAGCTATAGTCTAAACTCCTAGTATCACCATTCATAACCCCTATGGTAGTCCCCTATATAATCCCCTATATATCCCCCCTTTAAGGAGTTTAGACTATGCATCACCTGGGGGCGTTCCTCTGACTAGGAGCTTCTTGGGCACCCAAGTGATGTGGGGGTTTCCCAAAATTAGGGGTACCTTTTTGGGGGTCCCCATAACAAGGACTATAGTATATTGGGGTCTATATTGGGGTCCCCTCATTTTGAGAAACTACCCTGTAGGGGGATTACAATCTCATTTGGTGGTCTTATATTACTAGAGAAACCGCACCAGAACCTAAACCCCGAAGCCCGAAAACTCAGAATTCCTAAGCCCCTGGACCTTATCTAGGCCCTTTTGCTGTAATTGCATCACCTCGTCGTACACTAGCTGAAACGGCTCATCCATGGCAGCGTCATAGCCAGCAAGGGTTGGAAGTGCATCCTCCAATCGACCGTTGCCAAACCTGTGGTTGCGAATCTAGGGGCTGGGTTTACCTGGACCCCAAAAGTATGTAAAATTATGGCCTTTATGGCTACTATTAGGGGTTTAGGGCTATTATTTTACCTACTTTTGGGGTTTAGGTAGGGGCTAGGTTTAGTTGTTTCGGGTTTTAGGATTTATGGGGCTCAGGGACCCCTGTCACCTTCTGGACACCAAACATTCCAAAAAAGTATCTGAAGAAGCTACCCTGAACTCTTAATTTAGGGTTTAGGGTTTAACCTAAAACTCAAATCTTTTGTGGTTGTACGGTAGGTGGCCCGGAAGGTGGATTCACAAAAGCTTTCTAAGAAGACTCCGGGGAACAGGTATTGGCACCATGGCCTGCGCGAGGTAAAGCTATGGTTTGTTTTGTTGGCTGTAGGGATTACCTGGACCCCAAAAGTAGGTAAAATAATAGCTCAAAACCCCTAATAACAGCCATAAAGGCCATCATTTTACATACTTCGGGGGGTTCAGGTAGGACTTAGGATTGAGGGCAGGGGGTTGCAGGGTTTAGGTTTCAGTTGTTTTTTCAACTCCAACGGCTTTCAAGTGTTTAGGACTTATAGGCATTTGGGTCAAGAGTGTAGGGCGTTGGTTTTAAGAGTTAAGACTGAAGGCTTTGGCTTTTGGCTTATGACTCAAGATTTGGGGGTGCAGGGTTTAGGGTTTGATTAGGCTTTAGGGCCAAGGCCTTCGATTCGCAAAGTTCGGGAAGCCGCTGTGGAACGTTTTGAGGCCCAGCCGCGTGAGTGCCGCCGCCATTGATTGGGTCCCTGTGCGTGGCGCGCCCACATCCAGTACCTGGCCGTTTGGGGAAGTCTTACAAACCCGAAACCCCAAACTCTTCAGCTGCTCATATAATTAGCGCTGATACCCACCAGTTGCAAGATTCGTCACATGAGTTGCCTGATGGTTTCACCAATAGATGCGTCTGCAGTAGCTGCGGTGTATTTGCTGTAGAATGATTTTGCAGCTGCGTGTTTGCTTGCAGCATCTGTTGCAGACTTGTTGCAAATGCTGTGCAGAATTGCGCAACTGCAAGAATTCTGCAAACAAAACTGCGACGAGTCTGCAACCCGGGATCGTAGATTGCTTGCTAGTTTTTGCTGTCGCACACCTTCTATCAAAACCCTCAAACCAATGCTGCAACCAAACCTGCCACCGCAAAATCATGCCGCACAAAACCTGCAAAATTACCTTCACGACATCTTGCTTTCAACGCCCTCTCTGGGGCTCCGAGAATCTCATGATCTCAGGGAACCCGGGGCTCTGCATACTGGGGACATTTTGGGGGTTCCTTTTTGGATGTTTTCAGACGGTGGTTTCAACACCTAGTTACTTCTCCGGGAAAACTCCCCAGCATGTTCCTGAAATCTTAGGACCCTCAGCATGCCCGACCCAAAGCCCCTACGTAAAAGACCAAGAATTCAAAGACAACAAGGCACCTCAAAAGCGGAGACAGGAAGCAGAAGAATCAGTGCCGCAGCGTGAGCGAATTTATACATGAGCGGGTCGTCTGCAAATGGTTCGCTCTCATTTATGGAGGGATGATGGCTGGAGTTTGAGCCCTGCAGCGTGCAATGGCCCAACCACGGCCCCACAGACAACATGGGTTTAGAGTGAAACCCTAAGGACCGGAAAGCATGACAAGGAGATAACCTTCACATCAATCACAGCCTAGATATGCAAAGCACGTGTGTTACGTATGATGATACTCTCTCACCTGGCTATGCCCAGATCACAGCCAGCTGAATTAACGCAACCCTCGGACCCTCTGCTTGCCTGTACCTAGAGTAGGGTTGAGGGTTTAGGGTTGGAGGTTCAGGGTTCAGGGTTCACGGTTTACCTAGAGTAACGAAAGTACCTATACAAAAGGACCTTGTACCTAATACTGTGATGCCTTTACCTTTTCAACAGTATAGGTTACTCTATAACTCTATGTAAAGCAGACCATCTGCCACGTGAGCCCACTGAGCTGCACAACTGAGAAAGAAACCCAGTTGCGACTCAGCTTCTCACGAAGTCCAAACTCCAGAGAGCAACACATGCTGAAGATACCTTGAATTCTTCGAGGACCCCTCATACGATTTCAGGAATATGCCTGAATGAAGCGGTATTGGGCTCCCTGGGACCCTTTGCATGCAGTCGCGGCTCATTGTGGGAACAGGCATGGCCCTGAAAAGAAGTCCTGCGCCAGGGTCCAGGCTTTAGAGACTTCGGGGACTGAGGGGTGTGCAGGCGTCAGGGTCCCTGAGCTGAACACTTTAACTCTGCAATCCTTATATTGGACTGCAAAATGACTCCATTCTGCTGAGCCTGAGCCAGTATACACCCCTGTAAAAACAGCCAGGTGCAAGTTTGATTCACACATATCACCGTTAATCCCGAGGGCCGAGATTCCTGGATTACAATCTGGCCCACCGGTGACAACAGCGTGTGGACCGCAGCAAGTATGCCCCGAAACAGGACTCCGCAAAACCAGGCCGTGAAGGCTAGGGGTTAGGGCTGGGATTAAACTTAAGAGTTTAGGGGTTAAGGTTAGGATTGTACAAGTCTACGCAATTCCCTTGCCTTCTCATTGTGGAGGTGTCAAAAAGGCCGAAGGTCAATGTCGATCCTCCGAAATTATTCGCTGCTTGCGGCATCCTACACTCTGAGGCCCAAAGAGGAAAGGTTTAGCGTTTAGACCTAAGCATTTGGACAAAAATCCCCCTCAACCCAAAACCCTAATAGTAGCTTCCATGTTTTTTGCATATCCCTATATACACTGTATAACCGTCCTAGCCCCCTACACCCTAAACCTTAACTCTCCCCCCCCCTCCCCCCGGTCCTCTGCCGCAGGGAGAGTGTTTCGCGCGACGGCTGCACGGCCAGTCCTCACGTGACTCCGTCTGGAAGCCATCGCGCAGTTTCAGGCTTTAGGGTTTATATAGGGTCCAGCCTTGAGGGTTTAGGATCACAGGGCTAGATTTGCAAGTTATTCAGAAGAAGCCTGTATATTTTTGTTCAGGGAACGGCCCGTTTTGGTACTGCTCACGGATTTTTTTCTCATGTGCATCCCTACCCGGGGGTTCAAGGGACTAGCTAGCCATGAGGATATAATCGCCGGACTACGTACCCCGAAAGGGCTAGGGCGAATAGCTCCAGGTATTTATGGCTGTGGGAAGCTTTACAATACAAGGGGTCTATTGGGCTGCAGAAGTCTTTCTGGAATTAAAGAAGCTCATGGCAATGGTCAGAGGACTCCGACACCCTTACCCTGGGTTTAGGGTGTAGGGTCCCCAGGCGCCTGGTTCCTGCTGACTAACCCATCTGTCTGGGTCTGACTGGAGCACAACAATCCTCATTGTTCATAAGGTTTTCATGTTGCTTAAACAGAAAAGCAGCCTCCCTAAACCCTAAACCCTAATACCTAAACCCTAAACCCTAATACCTAAACCCTAATACCTAAACCCTGATACCTAAACCCTACACCCTGAATAGCTCCACTGCAAGGGCTTAAAGAAACAATTCCCGTCCGGCAGCAGAAGTCGAAGGTGAAAACGTCACCAGCGAAACAATTTTCATGGAAGCCTGGCTCCGTGGTTTAGGGTTTAGGGTTTTGGGTTTAGGATGGTTTAGGGTTATGGGTTTAGGGTTTAGGGTTTAGGATGGTTTAGGGTTTAGGGTTTTGGGTTTTGGGAATATTGCATATAGAAGATACTGGACAACAAGCTTGGTAGCCCCAAAGAAGCGGTTGGTTCTAAGGGCTTGAGGGTGTAGGTGGGAGTGGAATCAGGGTTTAGGGTTTAGGGTCTAAACCCTAAACCCTAAAAGCACATGGGAAATTAAGTGACAATAGGAAGTTTCACAAGGATTGGTGGGACTGCGCCTGAACTTATTTTCCCAAAATGAGGGAGATTTATAGAGGGATCCGTATCATAATCATAATAGGAAACCAACTATAGGCCCGCGTATTATAATGAATTTAGGGAAGTCTCATATAAGGGTTTTGGGTGTTGGACAGAGTTGCCGTTTGTTCGTAGGGACATCAGCGGCGATATAGGGATCTAGCCCTCCATGCCCTACCTTGAACCCTGAGCCCTTACTGTCCCACTGCAGGCCAAATCTGGAACTCCTGTGACGCCTGGGAAATCCTGAAGCCTGGCAGAAAAAACCAAGTGGTCTTCAGTTACTCCTTCTTGGTCCCACCCTAAACCCTAAGCCCCTAACACTGCAAAACTAGCGCCACGCCCAGGAACGTTCTGAGGCAGCATGCTGAGTGCAGCAAAGATGGTACTCAAAGCCCGCATAATTCCTCAATGACTTCTGAGGGTTGAGAGGTCTAGGGAATGTTGTTGATGAAAGGAGGCTTGCACCCGCGCGGAATACAGCCATAGTCGTACTTGCAGATTGCATTGAGCTGCAATCACTTGGGATGTTTACACGAGCAAAAAGGTGTAGTTACTGTACTCAGAATTCAGGCCCAGAAGCGCCAATTGAGTGTGTGCGCAGTGATACTTCTGCAACCTTACAGCGGCCTGCTTCACATGCTTCATGCATGAAATTGCGAAATCCGGAAGTCAATCCGAACAGCCCTCTTCCATACCAGGTCGTAAAGCCGAGCCCTAGACTCTCCTAGAGGAACCCTGAAAAATCCAGACCCTAAACCCCAAAAAAAAACGGTTCAAGCCTTTTTGCGATTTTCGTCGGTAATCCGGCCCCAAACCTGCATCATGAATCATCCGAAGCTCAACTGACCTTATACCCTATAAACCTTGGCTTTGAGTACTGAACATGCGAAACTCTAAGTCCTAGATCCTCAACCCTAAATTCTAAGCCCGAAAAACCCTAACTCTTCCTAAGCGCAGGCCCCCAGTGTCCAGCAATCCGCGTTTCCCGCAGGCGGGCGCAGCTTCTGCAATGACACGTGAATCAGCGCCCCGCATGACATCCTTAATTGCCAAACCCTGGAGGGTTTAGGGTTTAGGGTGTACCCATTGGGTTTATATACGGATGATGGAAATGAACATGGAGACTATAGGTATGAAAGGGGTTATAGGGGGCTATAGAGGGATAATGGAAAAAGAAGATGGAAACTACTGGCGAGGTTCAAGAAGGGTTTAGAATCTTTTTATAGAGGTACCCATTGGGGTAATATTAGGGTAATCTTGGGGATATGTTGGGATAATGGAAAATAAAATGGAAACTACGATTTAGGTTTTGGGGCTTAGGGTTTAGAGCTACATTGGGGCCCTAAAGTCTAAAGATGTTACCTACACTGGGCTATTTGGAGCTTTAGGGAAACGCGGTGTACATGGGACCTAGTAACTGCTTATAACTGGGCCTATACCCCGACTTATAGTTGGGGTAACCCCCTATAAGCCCATTTAGGAGGATTATAAGTAGGGTTATGAGCCCAGTTATATGTAGTTACTAAGTCCCATGATCCCATGAACCCTAAACCCTAAGCCCTAAACCGTAATCCCTAAACTCTAAATCCCACATATCCCTATAGCCCCCTTTAAAGGGGACAATATAAGTAGTTAACTAAGTCCCATGGGCCTCCAAGTAGGGTTCAGGGTGGACTGGGGGTTTGGGGCTAAGAATCAGGGCTTAGGGTTTATGGCTTGGGGCTGACGTGTATCTGTTTGAAGACTTGGAGTTTAGGTTTTGGGGTTTGGGGTTTAGGGATTTAGGGTTTAGGGCTTAGTGTAGGCCCATGATTAATAAACCCCCTCCTTTTAAGGGCCCTAATATGTTGATCCCTATTATAATCCCAA